CGCCTTGACCACTACATTTTGTAACCACAGTTTCATTCCATTTTCGTCCATCCAGCCTTTTTGGTGGACATGAACAAATACATTTGTTGGAATTTTATCTTTAGGCTGAGTTTTTCTTTTAAATATCAAGAAAGGTGGTAGTTTTGTGCCATCAGCACAACAATTCAGAACTGCTGTATAGTGGGTCTTTTCATGGCCAGTGTTTTTTATTGAGACCATTTTAGACCCTCTGACAGCCACAGTCCTGTTGGATGGTACATCAAATGTGAGTGAAACTTCGTCCATGTTCCCTATTTGGCCCAGTTCAAAACAAGTTTTCTTTCGTGCATTTATAACAAATCTATGAAATTCTAATATTTTTTCTTCATAATCAGCAGGCATTTTCTGTGCAATGGATGTTTTTGTACGCATTGATAAACCCTGCCATTCTGCAAAGTTCTGTATCCCTCGTTGTTTTGCTACTTTCCTGGCCTCATGAATTATCATTTTGGTAGAAACACTTCTCCCCGAATTTCTCTCATTTACCACCCACGTTTTTATGTCAACCTCAAGTTCTGGCCAATGTGGGGCTGGGTAACGAAGGTTATGTTTACCTTTCCTTGTGCTCTTCAGTTGGTTTTCTTGCTGTCGCCAGACACGTATCATTTTTTCCGTAGGTGGTGGCCTTAAAGCCCTTGCTGCTGCTCTATTGCCATGCTCCTTGGCATAATCTACCACTTGTAATTTGTAGGAGATTGTGTAGCTCGATCTTTTTCCTCCTGCTACCATAACGTTTTTAAAGCACTGAAAGAAAAACAATAAATGAATTTGAGTAAACCAAAAATGGAAATGTACACTAAAAAGAGACAGGAAAACCCCAATGTAAAACACTCACCGTTATTATTTTAATATTAGATTGATTTATCTTACTCTACAGTTCACCCAGGAAAAAAATGTCAGAAGTTGGTTCACAAATCGGCTAAATAGCCTACGTGCGCTCAACGCAAAGACTTTAGATAGATAGACGGAGCACGCGATAGCATTCCCTATTGTTTGCTTGTAATTTGCCTCTATCTCTATCTTCGCTCACTGATTGGCCGTGCATTTTTCAA